GAAACCTACACTTGGACCAGGAGGCAGTCTTCAGAACAGAGCAAGAAAACACTGCATGGTTCGAAAGTGGGAAGGGTGCACACCAGGGTTGTGTTCTATCTCCATACCTTTTCAATCTATATGCAGAACAAATCATCCAGGAGGCTGGGTTCTATGAGGAGGAATGTGGCATCAAGATTGGTGGAAGAGTCATCAACAACCTGTGTTATACAGATGACAAACCCTGTTTGCTGAAACTGAGGAGGCCTGACGTGCTTGCTACAGAATGTCAAGGACTGCAGCCTTCAGTATGGAATGAAGCTCAACATCAGAAAAACAAAGATTTTCACCTCTGGGCTGACTGGCAGCATCATGATAGATAGTGAAGAGATTGAGATTGTTAGCAGCTTTAGTTTGCTTTGCTCCACAATCAACATTCTTGGTAACAGCAGCCAGAAAATTGAAAGACGAATTGCACTGGGGAAAGTCTGCTGTCAGAGACCTCTCCAAAGTATGTAAGAGCAATGATGTCAGTCTGGAGACTAAGGTGCACCTGATCCAGGCCAAGTTTTCATTGTTGTTGACTCCCTTCAAGTCAAATACGACTCATAGTGACTCTTATGAACAAAAGGCCTGAAGTCCCTCTACAGCTATCGACATTTATCAAAGTTCATAAAGTTTCCGGAGGCATGTTATTATTTAGGAAGTGGATGCCACTCCTGCTTCCAAACCTGTCATAGTATGTTACTGTTTTTATGTGCCATTGAGTCACCTACAATGTATAGTGACCTTATGTACAGCAGCTCTGAACCCTTCCCTGTCCTGAGCCAGTCTCATTAACTCTGACACACCAACCCCATCGCCTCAGTTACTGTATCAATCCATGTCATCTAGGCCACTGTCTTTGCAATTACTTGCTATGTGTCAGAAAGCTGGACAATGACTAGGGATGACAGAAGGAGAAATGATGCCTTTGAGCTGTGGTGCTGGAGAGGAGCGCTGAATATACCATGGTCTGGTAGGAGAACAAACAGGTTTGTCCTAGAGAGGGTAAGACTAGGCTGCTCCATAGAGGTAAGGATTCTGAAGCCTCGTCTGACATACTTTGGACATGTTGCAAGGAGGGACCAGTCCTTGGAGAGAGATGTCATGCTTGGGAGGGTGAAGGGACAGTGCAGGAGAGGAAGACCCTCTATGAAATGGATTGATTCAGCGACTGGGGTAATGGGGGTAATTGTGTCAGGGACAATAAGGTTGACACAGGATAAAACAAGGTTTAAGGCTGTTGTACATAGGGTTCCTAGGAGTCGCAGGTGACTCGATGGCACACAACGACAATAATTTAAAATGTCTGCTTTTTAAAAATAATACTATTTTAAAATCATACTTATTTTAAGACTTGACAATTTTGGTGTTTCTTGGAAAATGTCAATTCCAGGAACTTTAGAAATAAGTTTCATCAATATAGATATACAATAATCTTGTATGTTTTATGCACTCCTTAGGGTCAAACAAAAATGATGTTGTAAAATAAACTAATTTGGATGTGAAAATTATAATGATGCTACAGAAGAAAAGTCAATAAATCTCTCCCTAGTGGCTCTCCAAAAGCTAGGATAAAAATTAAATTAACTAACAATTTTACTTGAAATCTAAATGTCATTATTAAATGGGAGTTAAAATGTCCCATTTAAAAAGATTCTTCAACTTACAAAATGCTTTTTATTTTTAATGAAAATTTAACAACTTAGAGTGAGAAACCTGGAAAGGCCCTAATTTATATTTCTCATTTTTTTTTCCATATCCAGCTGATCAAGGCCTATGAGTAAAATGTTTAAATATTTAATAATATTAGAAAATATAATAATTACACAACCATAAAACCTAAAATTTAAAGCTTTACAATGTTATTACAGGGTAAATATAAAAATATCAGGCTTTATTTAAAATATCCTTTCTTTTTCTGTTTCATGAAAACATTCAGTTGGCAAACAAACACATGGAGAAACGTTCAAAATTCCTAGTAATCAGAGAGATCCAAATAAAAACAATTATTAGATATTATCACGCCCCAGTAACAATAATAAAGTTCAACAGGGCTGCAAACAACAAATACTGGCGAGGATGCAGAGAGATTAGAACTCTTATGAACTGCTGATAACAGTGTAAAATGGTACAACCAGTATGGAAGTTGGTCTGGCTCTTTCTCAGAAACTTGGAAATATAAATATCATTTGATCCAGCAATTTCACTCCTGGGAATATACCCTAAAGAAACCAGAGCTGCCACCCAAACAGATAAATGCACACCCATGTTTATTGCTGAGTTATTCACAATTGCAAAGAGATGGAAACAACTCAAGTGCCCATCAAAACTAATAAATAGAAAAACTATGGTACAGTCAATGGAATACTATGCAGTGTTAAAAAACAATGAAATATTAAAACATTACGCAACATGGGGGAGCCCTGAGGATATTATACTAAGTGAAATCTCTCTGTCACAAAAGGTTAAATACCACATAACACTGCTATTACAAAACAGGACAGATGTGGGGGAGTTGGTAAGGGACTGGGGAAAGAGTCGATACATAATGAGCACTGCATTAGAACAGATGAAGGGAAGAACTCTCTGAAAGGAATATACGATTATGCATTACATGTATGAGAAAAATCTGGAACAAGGAGTACATTGCAGGGTGGGCTAGGGGAGAGGGTCGAAACGGGGAGAGAAAATGTGCAGCAATGAATAAACAAAAATAATTCCCTTGCCTTCCTACTTCTACCTTTATATTGGCTAAGTTTATCCATACACCCAAGTACCATCTAAAGTGAATCAAATACAAAATCTGTTTGGAGCCCTGGTGGCACAGTGGGTTAAGCATAAACTGCTAAGTGAAATGTCAGAGGTTTAAACCCAGCGCTGCTCTCAGGAAGAGCAATGAGGTCATCTGCGTCTTCATTACAGGCAGTCTTGGCGATCCTATGGGGCTGTTCTCCCCTCCCACAGGCCTGCAGTGAGCTGGAATGGACTCAGCGGAATTGTTATCTCGGGGTTGGATGTAATTTCAAAGCCATTTCATTCAGTTACTCCAGTTACAGAGAGAGACTTCTAGCTGGAACAGACTTCTCTGCTACAATGAGCTGTAAACTCTCTATCCTCTCACCCCAAAATCTGGGCAACTATTTTCAGCCCTCCCAGTCTCATTCATTCACCCCCACTCTCGTGCAAACCCATCAGTGTACTGGCAGATAGGACCGTCTCAAACTTTAACAAATAAAGAATCCTGGAAATTTAAGGAAAAACACAATGAAAGAAAAATGGTCCCCTTTCCTAATAAAAAAGGAGAAGTAACTTCAGTTGCTTAACTTGAAAGCAACTTTAGCATCAAAAATATGCCAAATTTTGTGAATACATGTTGAGGAGTGGAAAACAACATGCATAAAGATACACTTTCTAAAAAAGTATACATATTAGTGAAAAACAAATTTCTTTTATTACATCATGCATGCTCATTTGTGCTTTTTAAGTTCTAGATTGGCTTGTAGTATTTACTAACATTGCTGTATGGATCTTATATTAGTTGGTTAAATATTTTGTTTCTTGGTTTATGTATTGAAGTAATATATCTTTGTTTATAAACCTGTCTCTGTCACTTACTTCATTTTTGTATTTGGTTTTCTTACTTTTTTATTGTGATTTTAATGAAAGTTCATTGAAAAGCTGGATTTTCATTCATTCATTGTTGCACATTTTCCTCCCTACCCCCCTGTCACTTTTAAAAAAGCCAAAACATTCCTTTATTGTTGCATAATTTCCTCCCTCCTACCCCTCTCAGTCCACGTTGCTATTTGTAGCACCTGGCAAATAATCTACTACTAGTAAATTAATATTTGTTAAATGATCATTGAGTAAACGTCTATTATTATTGAAATAAGAAAGTCTTTCTACTCCAAACTCTTCCATGATATCAATAAAATCTTTATACCTTAAGGAGAAATCTTATTTTTTAACTTTTTAAAATTATTGGTTCTCATTCATTCATATATATTTTGTTTTATAACATGAAATAAATTTATCAGTGCATTTATTACATCTTCACAAATCCTTGCTGTACCCTCTCTACCTTCACCCTGCCCATCACTAGTCTCTGCTCCCCTCCCATCCCTATCAACCCTCCATGATTGTTTTGATCTGTGTACAAACTGAAGAAGTTTTATCTAAGTATTTATTAGACTGTAAGTTAGTATGTACCTGTGTGGTGTCCATTTCCCTAGAGGAGAGCTTGTTTTGTATTTCCTCTAGTTGATTAGTAGCTGCAATCTTCTCTCTTTCAGCCTTTTCCACCTGGGCTTCCAACTGGGCAATATTCTGAGACAAAGCCAACATCTGAAAGAATAAATACATTTTCTAAACAATTACGTTCTATGACATCTACACCCTAAGGCCTGGCATCAAGTGAGTCTCAGTATGGCCACTAGGCTCTGTGTGTGAGCCATTTCCTTCTGCGGCCTGTGCTGTCCACTTCTCCAGCCCCTCATCTCGCCCATCTCCCGAGACTGGACCCCTGGACTCTCCCATCCCCATCCTCATTCTCCTGTATTCTATGCTCATTTCTGACAACTTGCAACATGCTAACATCACAACTTTGAATGAAACTCTTAAAATGACAGATATCAGACCCTCAAGTAAGTTATCAGACAGCCTGGGGTGATAAAAAGATTAACTGAAATGTCTGAGATGGAGACTTATTTAGAGCAAACTACCAGGTCCACAATCAACACTCTTAATCAGGAGATCAGGAAATGGATTGCACTGGGAAGGTCTGCAGTCAGAGACCTCTCCAAATTCTTGAGGAGCAATAATGTCACTCTGAGGACTAAGGTGCAGATGACCTATACCATGGTCTTTTCAATCATTTACTATGCATCAGAGAGCTAGATAATGAAGAAGGATGACAGAAGAAGAATTGATGTCTTTGAACTGTGGTATTGGAGGAAAGTACTGAATATCCCATAGACTGCCAAAGAACAAATATGACTTGGAGAAAGTGCAGCCAGTGTTCCTTGGAGGCAAAGATGATAAAGCGCCATCTTACCTACTTCGGGCATGTTGCTAGGAAAAGGTTTTCCTTGGAGAGGGACATCATGCTTGGGAATGTGGAGGGTCGGCAAAAAGAGGAAGACCCTCAACCAGGTGGATTGACACAGTGACTGCTGCAGTGGGCTCTGGCGTGTCAGGAAGTGTGAGGATGGCAGAGGAGAGGGCAGGGTTCAGATCTCTTGTTTTAGGGTCACTATGAGGCATACTTGATGGCAGCTAACAATAACTGGTACGCCAGGAGACCCTGAGTAAATGGCTGTTGTTGATATGTGCCATTGAGTCAAGTATGACTCATAGGACCCTATGAACAAAAGGTCTGAACCCTGTCCTATCCTGTGACACCCTCACACTCCCTGACACACTAGAGCTCATTGTGGCAGTCACTGTGTCAATCCACCTGGTTGAGGGTCTTCTCCTTTGCTGACCCTCCACCTTTTCCAGCATAAAGTAATCCTTCTCCAAGGAACAGTTCCTCCTAGCAACATGCCCAAGGTATATGAGCCCCTCCTAGCCACAGGCTTAAAGTATGTGAGACAAAACCTCATCATTCTTGCCTGCAAAGAGCACTCCAGCTGCACCCTCCCCGAGACATATTTGTTTGTTCTTTTGGCCATCCAGGGGATGTTTGGTACTCTTCTCTAACACCATAGCTCAAACGCGTGAATTCTTCTTCATTCATATTATTATTAATTGTCCAGCTCAGATGCATATCAAGTGATTGGAAAGACTATTGCTTGAATCAGACATTTTAGTCCTCAAACTGACATCATTACACCTCAAAAATTTGGAGAGGTTCTTAACTGCAGATTTTCCCCATGCAAACATCTCCTTATTTCCTGACTGCTGGTACTAAGAGTGTTCATTGTACCCAAGCAAGATAAAGTTATTGACTTTTACAATCTCTTCCTCATCTATCATGATGGTCTATCTATTGGTCCAGTGTTCAGAATCTTCGTTTTCTTGACATTGACATGCAATCCATACTGAAAGCTGCATTCCTTGATCTTCTGCAACTAGTGTTTCAAGTCCTCCTCACTTTCAGCAAGCAAGGTTTTATCATCTATATAACACAGGTTATTGATGAGTCTCCCTCCAATCTGGATGCCAAATTCCTCTTCACGGAATCCAGCTTCTTGAATAATTTTATCAGCTTACATATTAAATGAATCTGTTAGCTGAAATATGTCAATTGGTATACCATCTATTCCGAGGGCCTTATTTTTTGCTATTTCCTCCAAAGCAGCTTGAACTTCTGCGTTCATCACCATAGGCTCTGGCTCAAATGCTATTTCATTAAATTCTTCTCTATCTGCCAATTCCTTTCGATACAATGACTCAGTATATTC